GGCCTAAGAATTTGTCTTTTTTTTTTTTTTTAGTAAAAGAAATTGCTAAATTGCTACTTATCCATTATAATTTTTCCTCACTACCAGGAACATAATTTTCCTCAAGAAAAAATTAAATCTAAGAAAAGGAATTGGGGTCGGGGAGTAAGTAGCATTAAAGTCGATGAATGAAAGGTTAATGTCTCCCAATACAAATATTTTAATTTTCTAGTGACTTTCAGTAAAATTTCTACTTTTATGCAGTTAAATAAAAAGGTAAAGATTCACTTTGTTATCCCCGAATGTAATAAGAATGAAAATAATTTATAAATTCTAACGTTCACAGCATTAATTCAAAAGAGGGCTCAATACCAATAGCCGAACAATAATTATCATTTTTTCATTTAGACAAAAATAATTTACTGACTACAACGATGCACCTTCGTTTTGGGGCATTTATTTGCACCTTAACTGGTGAGAACCAAAACCAAACCAGTCATCAAAGTGAAACTAAATGCACCAAAATGAGGGTGCATCTTTGTAGTAAGTAAAGTGTTTTTGTCTATATGAAAAAATTATATATATATATATGTATGTATGTATGTATGTGTGTGTATATGACAAAAAGAAAAACTTAGCTGATACATTTCATCCGCTAAGGGACTTTAACAAGATAACTTTCCCCCTTCCCCACCCCTGGAGGATGAAATATATCAGCTAAGTTTTACTTTACCTTTTGTTATTAATCATAATATCCTTTTACAGGTATACTCACTGAAATTTTTACTCAGGGAGAGATATATATATATATATATATATGCACACACACACACACACACAGAGACGGTGAGACAAAAGTCATGCACCATAGGGATAATTTATTAAAAGTATAATTACATATGAACATTTTATTTACTAGTTATTTAATTGTTATATGTTCTGTTCAAAATGTCCTCCTCCTTTTTCAAAAGACTTTTTTAAATTCTTTGCATGTATGATTTATTAACATAGCAGTTTCTGCTGTCATTTTACTTCATTCATATTTAATTCTTTAAGTTCATCGATATTTCTTGGTCACATCTGATAACAACAGGTTTCAAATGGCCCGGACAGAAAAATAGCAAAGAGTCTGAGATCTGGTGACCTCGATGACCACTCAACTGGACTTTAAAATAGGATTAATTCATTAATCCCTATGGTGCACAACTTTTGGCTTAGCCTGTGTGTATATATGTATATAGATTGAGTATGGCTATGAATCTGACAAAATGATAGTATAAAGAACAAGTAGGAAACAGGTCTTAATCTAACACATTTCACTTTATTAAAGCTTCATCAGAGAGAAATGATAAAAATGATAAAGATGCAGATAAATGGTATGATGTGTTTGACGATTACTTATTGGTTAGATATATGTCATGTGTAATGAAGTAACACACAATATTTAAATATGTGTAGCAAATATTCTTGAGGCTAAAGTGTGTAAAAGTCAGTAAGATGTTTCCATTGGATATGCGTCATGTGTTATGAAGTAACAAATAATATTTAAATAAACATAAGAAAACTTTCTAGATGCTAAAGTGTGTAAAGGTTAATGAGATGCTGCAGGATGTTTTGAAAAACTTTTCATTAATGTATATTTTGTTCATACACACACATACGTTATATATATATATATAATTTCCTGGGTTTGAATCTCACCATGGTTGATTTGTTAAGGAGACCTGATATTATCCGAATGGGTCAAGGTCGATCCCAGCATGCGGCACCTTTTGGAAAATTCCTGAAAACCATACCACAGACTGACCCAAGCCTTGTGAGTGAAATTGGGTAGATTGAACTTTTGAGGGCCATTGATATCTGTGCTAGCACAAAGCTACATGTTACCGTGGCCAAGGGCTTGTGTTTGCTGGCCTTGTTCAAATTGATGATCACACAAGATAACATGCTCTTTCCCAGAAACTGTAACTAAGGTCTGCTCAGCATAGTTGCAGTATAAACCACAGGTGGGTTAAAGTGGATGTTGAGCAAACAAAAATGTGCCTGAGCGAGCGTCTACAATAGGGATTGGCTAGCACTTGGACAATCTTTTCACATATGAAAATGAGACTTAAAGCTGTAGTGGTATAATTTAGCAATGACAAGGATATTTTAAAGAAAATATGAACTAAAAAGACATACATAGAATCAGAAAGGAAAGTTGAAATTGCTGGTACAGATAATGTAGAAAGAGGGTTCAGAGAATTTAATACTAACAAGGCATGTTGAAGGCAAGTGAAGCAAGGGGAAAAATAACTACTAAAAGGTTTTTGTGAATGAATAGAATGACAAGAACAAAAAGTGAGAGTACAAAGATGACTTAGAGAAATAAAAGGCAGGAAATCATGGAGGACCATGATCTAGGAAATATGATCAAATAAGGCATACAAAAGAAGTAAGATTCTGTTTTGCACTACAACTGTAATTAAGTCTTAAAGTGTCAACATTTTCTGAGAATATCTTAAGAAAAACATATCAAGTACTATCAGCAGCTATAGAAAACCTTGGGATCATAACTGTAGCTGTCTCTGAGTTATGTGATAACACACTAGCAGATGAAAGAAATGCTTAGAAATGTAGGGCTGTGGAGGGCGGCTATCTCCATTTGGTTAAAGCAGTGTCATGAGGTCCATGTGATGGCCAGTAAGGGACACAAGTTATTGGGATGACAAATGCAGAGTTGTTATTCAGCACATGAAGAAGCAAGATATATCTGCCCATGCCAGTTGTTGATAAACCACTAAGGTGCTAGATGTCATCTCAAGCTCACAGTGGTAGGGAGATCAGAAGAGCTCGCATGTTACCTCAAAGTTCATAGAAAATACTACTGGCCTGACCATTTTCCCCTTCAAGAAATATGTACAACACTCTCACTTCTTGCCTTTCCACTCTGTTTTAGTCATATGTTACAATTTCTCTATGTGGGACAAAATAGGGAAAAGTATATATTTGTATACAATTTCTTGTCTGAACTAGATACAAATTCACTTTGAGAATAATGTTGTGTTTGTTATTCTTTTCTATCAACTATTCTGTTCCATCTATGTATTAAGGTTTTACCATATCACAGATATAATATGTAGAATTGGAATAAATGAAAACAGGAGATGTTCTTTCTTACCTTGTGCCACTGCACATGTAGTGTGGTGGATATAGGTGATGAAATTGGAATGGGACAGCTGAGTCCAAATTCTAGTCTCTTGTTTATTTTCAAATAATTGCCTTTACAAAAGGCATGAATCCATTTCTTCTTCACTCCCACCAGCTGAATGGAAAAAAGCAGGGTAAACTAGGCTCTTTAGCCTTGGGTGGCAATCAGTCTAAAAGAAGGAAAAGTCTGAATTCAAAACTGTGAAAGAAAGCAATGGGAAATCATTCTATCACCATTTTTAGGAAGTTGTGGTAATTCACAAAAAATAAACACATAAAACGAACCCTTGCATTAAAAGAGAGAAAAAAAAAACAAAGAACTGCAGAAGGTGCTTTTTGTAATCTTTCAGGGAAGTGAAAAGAGATTTTTTTGCCTGATCACCAAAGAAATGTATCCTCCATGTAAAAACTCACATAAGGCATTCTCTCTCTCTCTCTCTCTCTCTCTCTCTCACGCACTCACACACACACACACACAAGAGAGAAAGATGTATGCATAAACTAAACATGTAGTTGTATATAACAATCCTTATTTTTAGAGATGAGATTATGTTAACAATACACTTGTTAAAATAATAGCATTCAAACCTATATCCACAACCCCACATCGGCCTCTGTTACCCCCTTTAAAATTGATCTCAGCCAGCCAGCCTATACAGAGAGAAAATAAGCATACCTATTGTGATTAATTTTAGTGGAAATGTGAGTGGTAGTGTTTCACCCAATCAGTGGTGAGGTCAACTCACCTTGAACGAAATAAAATTAAAATAGAAATGAAACAGACAATATATCTAGTGTTATGGACAATATTTATTTTAATGTTTTTTTGTCTTTTCTGTTAAAATACAAATGGTTGTAGAAATAAGAAAACAAATAACATTCATTGTATGACTTAATAATTCAGGAAGGATTTTTATTCAAAACTAGCAATGATACCTGGCATTGCACAGGACAAGTCTTTTTCTTTTTACTCTACTGCATGACACATTGTTTCTTTGAGATATTTGCTTATATCACGAAAATGGTATTCTTGTATGAAAACTGGAGATGTTCTTTCTTACCTGGCACCACTATTAGAGAATTATAGTAAAACTGAATAATATATGTGGTATTTTGTTCCAGTTTTCTACCATCTTTCAAGCAACTTCATAGTTCTATCCACCCAGAAATAAGCAAAGTGTGTATGCACATGTAGTGTGGTGGATATAGGTGATGAAATTGGAATGGGACAACTGAGTCCAAATTCTAGTCTCATAACATTTTTATATAATAATAATAATTTTATCTTTATATATATTTTTAATAATTTTAATAACTACATTTCAAAAGTTTAAAGGGAAGCCCTGATAATTTTTATTTTTAATTAATCCAGAAATTTTGTTTTGTACTTTAAACAAGAGAAAATTATTATACATGGTTAAAAAAAAAATGGTAAGACATGATATTAGAAATTTTATTATGACAAAAAGATAAAGCATTTTATGATTAAATTTTGCTCTTGTCAAAATATCCTCCTTTTGCCTTGATTACTGCAGCACAAATTTTTGGCATTCATTGCTCAAGTTTCTCAAAGTATAAGTTTGATAATTGATTCCATTTTTTTTTTTTCAATGATTCTAAGAGCTTTTTCCATATTTTTCACTCTTCTGTCAAGTTCATCCCATAATAATTCTGGAGGTGGCTTAAAACTTTTGAACTGAACTGTAGCATGTGTTTGCATATATATATATATATATATATATATATATATATATATATATATATATATATATATATACACACACACACACACACACAGTATCCATTCAGGATAATGGGGGCTTATGGCTACATCCCATTCCCTTACAATCACTGTAGTTAAGCAACACTGAGGCTGGTAAGTACCTAGATGGGTGACCACTTGGAAATACCAGGTGCTGTAAGGTTGGATGTCTCGGTTGTGTAATGGATAATGACTCAGAATTGTTAATCAGAGAGCACAATTCCAATTCCAGTTGTGTTCATTATATTAACTTAGGTGCGAATAATCTTGAATCCACCTCTTCTCCCACTTGCTATGGGTTAATTAATAAAACTTGTATCACTAAACCATTATTATCTCCAAAAATAAAATAAAATTGTGCACAAAAATATGTAGGTTTCAGCATTAAATAACCCGTAGAGAATGCAACTTAGCACTCAGCAAGGACAGAGGAGATCATGTTGCTCCACAACTTCCTTTCTTCTGTAGCTATAAAAAAAAAAAAAAACATTTAATTCTTTTTCCATCCCTCTTTGTGTGAATGGCTGGCACAGCTAGTGACAATCTCATTAAGTAGGTTACTTACTGATTCTTCTGCATTCACCATTCCTATTTTTTATTGTTCTCCTTAATAATGTTTTGTTTTCCTCTTATTCTCCCATATTCAGTAATCCCTTACATCATAGTGGCTTTATTGCCTTGCTTGGGATGAAATGATTGAAAAAAAAAAAGCAGTTTTAATTTTATCTATATATTTACCTCTATTGTTGCATGTAAAACAATTTCTTTTTTAAATAATTAAAAGTGAAAAGGAAGCTAACAATAAACATAAGAAATAGACAGTGCTGTATTAACAGCCTTATCTACCTCATTCGTTCATGAGATATTCCGTTATTATGATTACATTCAATCTGTTCAATCATTCAAATAGAATAATGCCTTGCGTTAACAATGGAATATTTTATTAAGAAAGGAAGAACAGTTTTAAGTCACATTGTATTACAGGTTTTCCTATTCTGAAAATTTTATTCTATAAACAAACTAAAATGTTATTGAGAAGGAAAACTTTTAAAAGACAATAGGAGCACTTTTTCTTTTTTTTTTGAATCAGGTCATCTTGCTCATTTAGAACTAGTCTCTTATTTTCTGTGCTCAAATTTGTTTTTGTCTTCTTTTTTATTTCTCTATTGACAAACATGAGTCACCTTGCTTTTAAATGCTTTCGATTGTTAATGTCCTGCAGGTTTAATTTGTATTCATCCATTATCTTAAGCTATTTATGAATGTCATCCTAATAATAATTATGACAGCTAATTTCAGCAATTTTTCCCCGCCACCTCTTTCATAACCGATGTGATCAGTAACAGCTAAAACTGCATATTCATCCACAAAATTCATTAAAATTGAGGATAATCCAGAAAGATTTTAGATTGAAATCTTTTAATTTTATGCACAGCAAATTAAACCAAATCGGCTTCCTTTGTATTTTTATACCAACAAAAATAAGGAAGATTCAATAAATAGGAAGATGAAATCATTCAATGAATCAAGGCCAACCACAGTTGGGATCACAATCATTGTAAACTCCATGATACTTTCATTAGCTGCATAGTATGTGCCTTGCCAGGGCTACTTATGGTTTTAAATTCAGAGTTGTCTTTCTCCTAGACTGGTTGACACTCACAGCTAAAGAGTCTAGTCTGCCCTACTATTTACTCCTAGCCAAAAGTATTGGCAGATAAGTGAATATAATAAACTCTATTGGAACTCAAACTGCTCTCCAATTTCTCATTCCAAGCTGATAACCCTACCTCCATCACATTGCAAAGCCTACCTCCATCACATTGCAGAGCCTACCTCCATCACATTCAATTTAATAAGGACAATTCTAAACACCCATGCCTGCTTTTCTACTTACTATCAACTATGTGGAAATCTTAAGACATTTATCAAAAGCTACTTTATTGCCACAGGTTCTGTCTACAATTACCATTCTGAAGGAAGAAAAAATTGTACAATGACAATATGGTCAAACCCAAATTCTCAAATGGCAACCTGAAAAAAACACCAATAAGTATTATGCATAAACCTTTTTTAAAATTCTTTCTTTTCATTTAATAAATCAATCAAATTAAAGCCAGCTGCAATTGCAATCAGAGTCATTGTAAACTACATGATCCTTTCACCAGCTGCATGTTATATGCACTTTGCCAGGACTGCATGTAGTATTGAATTCAGAATTGTCCTTCCTCTAGTACAGTTGTTACCAAAGACTAAAAGACCTAGTCTCTCCTTTTATTGTCCCTAGCTGGAGAGAGAAGAAATGAATTCATACCTTTCCCAATGTAAGTAAATGTAATGAACTCGACTGAAATTCAAACTTGGCTCTCCAATACCTCAATCTGAGTGACTATCCATTACTTCATCATGCCTCCACTACAAATTCATTATATCAAGTTATACATAGTCTATGTGCCATATCTCTTTAAGTCATGGATGTCCCCCAAGTTCCTATCCCTTGCAACTCTAAACAAAAAACATTTCTAAATTTTAACAAACTTTAACTCTTTACCATCCACCCTTGTTCATGCTCTGCTATCTATTCACACAAATTCATTAGCTAGGTTACTGATTCCATCATCACTTCCTTTGTTCAATATGTCCTGTGAGTGTTAAATTTTCCATACCATCATTTTTCATAATGTCCCAGAAATTTAGACTCTTTCCAGTTGTAAATATGAGTGCCATTTTAGTTCCTATGTTCTTCAGAACTTTCTCATAACTCGCATGTTCTATCCATGGTATTCTCAGCTTCTGTCTATAGAACCACCTTTTTGTTGCTTGAAGTCTTCATCTGCAAGGAAATTGTCCAGAACTCATAGCCAGACAGGAAAATAGATATAAAAGTTCAGTTTTCTTCTTTGTTTCTAGTGAAATATTCCTGTCTTAATAGTTTGCTTTGTTTCTCAAAGGTTTCTTTAGCGATTCTGATGTTTCTTCAGCTCTCTGTGTCACATTTTCTTTTAATTGTCACATTATCTAGATAGTTAAATTTCTGTATTTGCTTGATTTTATTTATTTTATTTTATTTTTTTTTTTTACATTTCCAATTCAAAAGCTCACATTTTGGTTGCCACTCTTGCTGGTGACCATACATTTTTATCCTTTTGTAGTTAGTCTTTTCTTCTTGCTTTTCTTTGCTACCTTTCTAGTTTTTTTTTTTCTGAGTCAACCATTAGTGTATTAACAACATCATTTTGAACAATTTTACAAATGACTATATTTCTTGGAAAAAAATCTTTTTTCTTATCTTCTCTACTCTATTTCTCTAAAACTTCTGCAATTTCAATAAGAAAATCAAATTGTGAAAGGTTGGGAATTAGTAGTTGGTTACTATTATAAATATTTTGTACATGAATTCTGAAAGTAGGAAAATTAAATTAAATACAATTTAACCTTCATCACACAACTGTATAAAAATGCAATAAATTACAGAAAATTGATTCAGCAATTTATTTTCAAAACATAGACATTTTGACTGTTCATAGCTGAGATTTGGTACGTCAAATATTCTGTTGGTGAAATATTTTTTTTTTAATGACAGTCTTTATATCAGTGTGTAGTTTTAAATTGATTTTGACAAAATCATTTTGTTTTTTGTTTTGCTTTATTAATTCTAACAAATATTTTTGTCATGTTAGGCTTTTATTTAAGAAAGGTCAGATCAGTGCTAAAATAGTGTCCTATACGAGCAGGAGCTGCACAGTCTTCACTTTCTAGTCTCAATAGAGCCCAAAAGCATCATTGTATTCTTGTGGGTGTCATTATCTTCCACCCTGCAGCCTCCCTCTCACAGATAGGATGTAGCAAGGCTCTCACTGCTCTGTAGCCATTTCCATGGAAAGTGCTTGCATGAACTGCTTTCCTTTGTTCTGCCAGCTCTAACCTTAATGGCTAAGACCTGCCATGCCACTAACATTGTAGTAAATTACCCCATTCCCTCTCAAACAGCTTCTTCCTGTGAACTATTGCTCTGGGGAACAGACTCCAAAGAGGATGTTTTCTGAATCACTACAATCCTAACTTCTTTGAGTCAAGGGTTAACCATTATCTTCCCCACCTATGTGTATAAACTGCCTCTTGCTCTGTAACCCTCAATCTCAAGTAGCCCCTTATGCCATCGTTTTCAAGTATCACTTCTACATTAGTTAACCTTTACATGATAGGTTATCTCTTGTAGGGGACACTGAAAGTCAATTAACTAAATCATTGAACCATTGAAATTATTTCAGTTACAAATCCAATGGTTTTCCGTAATATACAGCCACTAAAACTCAATACATAGTTACAAGGGTATAGTGAAATACACAAACTGAGTTTAAGCTGAATATTTTTGCTAGTCCCACACTAACAATATAGGTCCTTCTCTTTCATAAATTTACAGTGGTTTAGAAAGCACACAACAAACCATATTTAAAATGATCCCTTTTTAACAAAATTGCCAATAAAAAAAAAAAAGTGGAAACTATATAAATCCAAGAAACTGTGGGGCCCTAACTAACCAAAGCTCAACGTTCATCTCAATGAAATGATGCTCTGTATATGGCGGGATTGAAATGGAAATTGTGAAATTTGTAGGATTCCATAAAGGAATCATTTTGTATAGATTGACTAAAGAGCTAGCTTTAGTGTCAGTTGAGATTTATAAAATCTTTCTCTTTGAAGAAGTCTTTTAGGAAATTAGATTTCTCAAATCCACTAAATGTAAAATATTCTGGGGAAAGTCAACATCAGGATTACATCAACATTTTTGTTGTTTTAGCTCTTGGAAGTGTTCAAGTGATAATTTTGTAAAGGGAGCGCACTAGGGAAGAAAGATTTATTCTCCCATTTATATTTCTCCCATTATGTGTGTGATTATATCTGTGACATAATAACATTGAAGTTCACAGATGGAACAGAATGGCTCAAAGGAAAAAGAATAATAAACATGATTTTATTCCCAGAGAGACGTTTATCACTAAGACATACACAAAATTATATATGCATATATACATGTTTCCCACATGTAGAATAATATATGACATATCTACACAGCAAAGTAGAGTGTAAGGAGAAAACAAAAAGGAAGTGTCTTAGATATAACATGAAGATACACATGTATCTGGAGAAACCCTTTGT